ATGCTGCTGCTTTCAGCAAGTTCAGCCTCTTGGAAGAAACTGAGCTGGAAAGTGAGATCAGTAAATAGGAAAACAGTTCTGTTGAGCTCAAACCAGGACCGGTGTCCGGGTGCCCAGGAGGCCCCGTGGCCCCGTCCCAGCCCCAGGGGTGTCCCTGGAGCAGCTCTGCCCTGGCTGGGCTGTGCCAGTGCCACCCAAACAAGGGAGCTGGGCGAGGAGCAGGATGATAATTGTCCCTTTAGCAGTCGCCGGCTTTTGTTCGCGTTATTGTATTTTATGAACGTTAGCTTTCTTCCAGCCCTTTTGTCGTCGTTGTTTTTATTCCGTGGTGATATCAGTGTTAGATTTAAATGAAAATGTCTCCCGAATAAATTACTGTGAATGCACTGCATTCAACGGGAACAGAGTTAAGCTTTAACAAAACAATTTAAAAACGCTTTTCTCGTGCGTTTTCTAATGAATTCCATCTTCTTGCCAAATGCACCTTAACGCAACCGAGCAAAAAAAAACAAACCCCAGATTTTATTTATCAAATGATTAACTTTCCCTTTTCTACCGGAAAGACACAACTTGTGCGGATGCGTGTGGAGCTATGAAATTATTTAAGTGGCTGTGTTTAGAGACAACGCGTGTGTTAACTTGGCGCGAGCGCAGCAGCACGCGCTTGGTCTGGGCTGGTTGGTGCCAGCCGTGCAGCAGTGCAGGGGTGAGACCCGGTGACCAGGAGCCTTGAATGGGCTGCGCTTGCGCCTCCATTTCTGAGCTCTGATAGCGCCTGTTGGAAACCTGCGGTGTTCTCAGCCAGGTTTTGCATAACATCAATAAGGAGAGGAAAACCTTAATGCCCGTTTAATAGCGTTTGCCCGGGAATTCAATTACTGCCTATTGCCAGTGCGTTGGCAGCATTAATAACGGCACGCCGGGCACTTCCGTAATTTATCATCGCGATCTCTGTGATGCATTATAGAAGATCCCTCCCCCCCGGCGGTGCATACATACAAAAAAGGATGAAATAATTGAGGTTGAAGCGGGGCGTGAGCGGCTGCTCAGGGTCGTGTGCCCGGAGGAAGCGGGGCCGGGCTGATGGTGGGGTTTGTGGAGATGCAGCCCCTGCTCCATCGCTTTGCTCTGACGAGCCCCAGCCCCGGTGCAGCTGCAGCCTCGCCGGGTTTGCTGCTTTTTAATGTTTAGGGATGAGAGCGAGGAGCGGGATTGGGCACGGGGAACCCTGTGGGGTGTTCTGCTGCAAGCTTCAGGACTTGTGTCGCTGTTTCTGTGTCTGCGTTTGTAGCATCGACGGTCAAAGGGGGTTCGGGGTGAATTGGGTTTGTTGAGGGGTGAGTGCCAGGCCGGAGCCCTGTGTGCCAGCACCGGGTGCGGGCTGTGTGTGTTTACCCCGGCTTTTCCCTGGGTGATGCCATCGAGGAGCACTTGTGTTCCTCTCCTGTTCTTTGCTGGGTCGCTGCTCCGTGGGGAAGGTTTGAGTTAGGGGTTGTGAGATGTTTGTTTCCAGATAGACCCGTGTGAAATTCTATCTTAATGTACCTAGGAGAGAAGTCATAGCAGCCTGCTTTAAAAAACCCCCACCAACTAACAACTCTCGAGAACACCGACCCGCAAGCCCTCCACGCAAATAAACTTTTCATTTCAAAGGATCTCCGGGTCCGCTTCTGCTTCACGGCTGGTGAATTACGAGCCGAGGAACCACTTTGAAAGTGCACGGGAGCACTTCAGAGCGGTTTCAAGTCGGGAACGCGCCGCGTGTAATGGAAACGGGAAGGAGACAGATAAGGGAGCGGGAGGAGGGAGGTCTGGCTGGAGCCAGCGCTTTGTGCTGATGGGCTGCCTGGGAACTCGTGCGCCGCTTCCTCGGAGCGGAGACAGCTCCGTGGCCCCAAATACAGCCCCAAACACGGCCCCGCACAGCCCCAATCGCAGCCCCACACATGGCCCTGCACAGCCCCAAATGAAGCCCCGAATGCAGCCCTGCAGAGGCCCAAATGCAGCCTCAAATGCAGCCCCGCACTTGGCCCTAACACAGCCCCACACACAGCCCTGCACAGCCCCCAATGCAGCCCTGCACATGGCCCTCATTCAGTCCCA